TAGAAAGTAGAGAGTTTAGATTAGCAATCATACTTAAAGAAAATTTTACTATACTAGTAGCAAAAACTTAAGAAAACCATAATCTTACTCGAGAATGAAACTCCAAAATCCTGATTTAATATTTCAGCAAGTCTACACAAATCTAAAAAAGAGAAGAAGTTAGCGAATGACAACAAAGAGAAATAAAAAAAGAAAAAAAAAGAAAAACACCATTCTACCTGAGAAAGAAATTCCTAATTCCATATTCTGGCAAGCCTACAAGGATCTAAAGAGAAAATAATGAAGAGTTTAGCAAGTAGCAACAAAAGAAAAACAAGAAAAAAAACAAGCAAAGTATAATCTTACCTGAGAACAAAGCTCTAAAGCCCTTGATTTCATATTCTGGCAAGCCTATAAGAACCTTAAAAAAGAAGAATAAAAATTTTAACGAATAACAACAAAAGAGAACAAAAAAAAAGCACTATAATCTTACCAAAAATGAAGCACCAAAGTTCCTGATTCCACAATCCGGCAAGTCTATATGAACCAAAAAGGAAAGAAAAAGTTAGCGAACAAAATAAAAATAAAAAGAAAAAGTTAACAAACTAAATAGAAAAAAAAAGAAAAAGATCGAAATTTTACCTGAGAATGAAGACTAAAAATACAAAATAAAAAAAATAAAAGAAGTTAAATGAATAAAAAAAAAAAAACAAGAAATATGATCTATTTGATAGATCTAGATCCGGAATGGGGACTGTAAATTAAAAAAAAAACCAACAAAGCACAACAACTCGCATATACTGAAAAATATTTGTATATATATTACAAATAAGCTTTGGATGAGCATAATTATGTGAGTATTTATTAAAGATGCTATACCAATTGTTTTATTGTTTTTATAATAAACGGGAGTTCTATATACAATAATCAAAGATTACAGTTTATGACAAAAATAGATGAGATGTGAAATAATCTGCAAATTTTCGAAAATATTTTTGAAATATTTCGAAAAATATTTTGAAATTTTTTGAAAATTTAATATTTCGAAATATTTTGAAATATTTTGTGAAATTTTTCAATAATTTTGCATTATGCAAATTTTTTCGAAAAATTTCGTATCTTTAAATTTACTGATATACCCAATACTGATAATATAGTATATAATCAAAATTTTGATTATATACTATATTATATATATATATGTATATGATCTCTCATATAACTATATATCTATGGTATAAATCACATGATTTCTGGCACTCCTCTAACTAGAAACTTGTCTAATTTGTTGTTTAACCAAACTTCTAAAAATCTTGTGATCTTGTTCTTTTCTTCTTTTGATAGCTACTCATTTCCAAAGAAAAGTTTTTGATTTTTTTTATTTTTTGTTGAATTGCAAATAATTAGCTTAAACTTTTTTCATTAATCTATATATCATTAATTTCAAAAAATTCCTTTGCTATCTGTATAGTTCTTTTTATTTGCTCTTTGCTTTTTGCAATCTATGTTGTGTTATCAGCATATGTGACCACTACTTGTCTTTAACTTTTTCCTGTTGTTTAGTTAAAACTGTAAAAAATTAAATAGATTCTTTGTATAACTATATATCCTAGGTCAGGATCTTTTTTGAATTCTTGAGAGTAATAGATTGTAAAAGATCCTCTATATCAGAGATAATATTATCTCTTCTTGCTCGATACTGTCATTTATTTTAAAGCATTATGTAATATCCAAATCTGTTATAATTTTAGACTGCCTACTCTCAAACAAGTTTAGGATGAAGGATATCATTATCTGTAGAATTTTGAATCTCTTTATTGCTAAATCTAGTAACTTCAAAAATACTGAGTTAAAAGCTTTTTTCATATCTTGCAGTACTAGCTATAGCTCTCTGTTATTGTCTTTTGTATCCTCTATTATTGTATTTATAATTTGCACCAGTTCTTCTGTCAAGTTGCTAGCAAGCTTGTATAATTTAAATTTTTTAGAATATTCTTCTCTGCAAGAACTTTTGCTAGTCGTTTAGTTACAATTTTGGTTATATATTTTCTAAATATTTTTAGAAGAGCTATTGGTCTAATATTGTTTAAATTAAAGCGACAATTTGTATCTTTTGATATAGAGTATACATGCTGACGAAATTATTTTGGGTTTTAGGGTACGAAATTAAAATTTGAAGACGAAATTGTTTTTACTTAAAGACGAAATTTTTTGATACTTTTTTTGAAGAGATGAAATTATAAGGAACATAACTACCTAAATTAAATTTGCTCTTGTATATAAAAAATTCTAAATTGCTCTAATAGAGACAAAATAGAATTTTTTTGAAAATCTATTTCGATAGCATATATAGTATAGAGTAAATTTGTAAAATCTTTTATTTAATCAGCATCTTGCTAGAGCAGATGCAGCTTTCTGCAAAAAAGTAAAATATCTTCTATATATGTGGGCTTGCTGCTTTAATTAAAGTATACATTATTTCAGATACTTTTAGAGCTATATTTTTCTTTAGTTTTTTTAGTATATCAGACTATTCTTTCTTAGAGATATTTTGCACAAGTGTATTATACTATTTTTCTTAAATTTCTTCTTTTGGTTTATATATTTTTTTTAACTATTTTTCTAGAGTTTCTGATTAAAGTATTAGGGTCTAAACTGATTCTGAAAATGCTTTTTTGTTTTTCTAGAATCTTCTCTGAGTCAATAATAAGCTCTCTCTGATAGTCTATAATACTTTATATAACTGGCAATTTGTAGATCACTATTTTTACATCTTTGATTCCAAATATCTTGAGATCTATTAGGCTAATTTGAATAATCTAAATACTATTAGAACTATAAAAATTTCCTCTACAACTTTAATTAGAAGCCAAAGAGAGATTGGCTTATTAAAAACTTTAAAAAATTATTTTTAAAATTTAATTAGTTAATTAAAAAAGCTTTTAAAAAGCTAACTTTTCTTGGGCTTCTAATTAAAGTTGTAGAGAAGATTTTTATAGTTCTAATAGTATTTAGATCATTTAAATCAGCCTAGTAGATCCCAAGATATTTGAGATCAAAGATGTAAAGATAGCCTATAATACTTTGTATAACTGGTAATTTGTAGATCACTATCTTCATATCTTTGATCCAAAATATCTTGGGATCTACTAGACTAATTTGGATAATCTAAATACTATTAGAATCATAAAAACTTTCTCTACAACTTTAATTAGAAACCTAACTAATTCTAACTTAATAAAAACTTTTTTAATTTAAAAAAATTATTTTTTTAAATTTAATTAGTTAACTAAAAATAGATTTTTATTATTATACCATGGTGAAAATAGCAAAAAGCTATGGTAAAAATAGGCGAACCTAAATTTATATATAAAAAAAAAATAATATTTTATTTAAAAAAAGTTGATTGCTTTTATATAAATTATTTATTATCTTAATTGTAACTTTTTTATATATTTTATATCATCTTTTATATGATGTTTTATATATTATAAAAAATACTTCTTTATATATTTCTTTAATATTTCTAAAATTATTATATTTTATCTAACCAAAATAGTTATTATTATTACAATTATGTTTCATAACAGCTAATTTTAAATATTACAATATTCAAATCTCAAATTTTATTCTTTTCTATATTTATACTATTCTGATAATATGAATTAATACTATATATTCTACAATAATATCTATATTTAGCACTTTTCAAATAATATTTAAAGGCTTTTTGTTTATTCTTTTCAACTTTAGTTTTATATTCATAACAATATTTAATATTATATATTATACTAGTATACTCTATTTTTACAGATTTTTAATAATAAATTAATCTTTTATATATAGTATTGTAGTAGATTTTTATTTGTATAATTTTATATTCTTAAAAATACTAATTTATATTAATAGATCAGCAAATTACATACTTGAGAAAAATACAATATCTACAAGTTACCAGAAAATTAGCTCTTATTTTAAAATAATATCTATATATATACTCTAAATAATATACAAGTAGGTATTATTATACAAAAATATCTCTTAAACTGTATTTCAGACAAATTTATTTGAAAAATTTAATTATATTTAGTATTTTTTAAATAAAACAATAATTTATTAATAATATGGAATATATTTTCTTTATAGAATATATTTATAAAAATATATTTTACAAACTTTATTATAAAAGTTTTTTAAAATTATTAATTGATAATTCATCACTCAACTAGAGAAAGCTTATAGTATAATGTAATGCAATTTACATATAGAAATTAGAGTTTTTGGAATGTAAACTGCTTCTATCTAAAACTTTTTTTTGTTAAATTAATTATTTTTAGATTTCTAATTGAAGTTGTAGAGCTTGTCAAAACAAATTTAATAGTAGTTGAATTGTCAAAATCGGCTTGGTAGGTCACAAGATATCTTTGAAAATATTTTGCTGACTATATAAACTTTTCTTTTAACAATACTATTAGGCAGCTACTATACATATCCACCATATATAAGATAAATTTACTATACTTTTGGTAAATTATCTGTTAAATTACCATAATTTACTTATAGTAATTTACCACCTGACAGCCCTGGTATGAATAGCAAAATTAGGGATATGTATAGCAACCACCTACTATTATTAAAAGAGAAGTTTACATAGTCAGTAAAATATTTTTTAAAGATATTTCATGATTCACTAAGTCGATTTTGACAATTAAACTACTATTAGATTCATCTCAATGAGCTCTACAACTTCAATTAGAGGCCCAAAGATGATTAACTTAGTACAACAAAAAGTTTTAGATAGAAGCAGCTTATATTTCAAAAACTTTAATTTCTATATATAAACCATATTATATTATACTATAAGCTCTTTCTGGTTGAATAACGAATCAGCAATTAATAAATTTTTGAGTACTAAAACTTCTAAATTTTTGTTTAAAAATTTTTTTTATTAAAAATTTTTCAAGATTTTTTAAGATTTCATATGTTTCTAAAGCTAAAAAAAATTTTTGATCTTGATATAAATCTAAATTTTTATAAGTAAATTATAAAAGTTATCCCTTAAACTATATTTTAGGCAAATTTTCTGGAAAATTTAATTGTATTTAGTA